GGCACTTACCACTACTTTTGAGACCGCTAGATAAATCAATAGTTGCTCACCTTCTCCTAATTTCTACAACAACGGAGGGCTAGATAGGTACCTTTTTAGGTCTTTAAGTGCATATTGGTATTCCGGAGTCCATACGATGTCATTCTTTTTTTTCAAAAGCAAAAAAAAAATGATGGAACTTTTACGAAGACCTCGAGATGAACCTTCTTAGAGATACCAATCTACCGGTCAACATCTTTATTCCTTCACGCCTGTCAGCTGGTCTGGGATATTCTCGATGGATTTGATTTTATTGGGGTTTACCTTAATTCCTCTTTGAGAGACCAAAAACCCCAGGAACTTATCGGAACCCACTCCGAAGGCATATTTCTTCAGGTTGAGATTCATGTTGTACTTTTTCAGAATGTCAAACGTCCCTTAGAGATGTTCCAGTTGATCTCCTGCATAAAGAGACTTAACTAGCATGTCGTCGATATAAGCTTCCATCGTCTTACCTATCTATTTTTTAAATATCTTATTAGCGAGCCTCTAATAAGTGGCTCCCGTATTTTTAATCCCACAAGGCATCACATTATAGCAATATGTGGTAAAGTTTGTGATGAAAGAATTCTTCTTTTAATTTTCTGGGTCCATCGTAATTTGATAATACCCGAAATAAGCATCAAGAAAACTCATCAACTCGTGCCTGGCTGCAGCATTGATCATTTGATCAATGTTCGGCAATAGGAAAAAGTCTTTGGGGCACACTTTATTTAAATTCTTATCATCTACACACATCCTAAATTTTCTATTCTTTTTAGGCACTACTACGTTAGCTATCCACTTCGAGTACTTTACCTCTCGAATTGAACTGATGTTAAGTAATCGGGTTACCTCTTCCTTAACAAACCTGTTTTTGACCTTTGCTATCAATTGTTTCTTCTGCCTTACCGGGGGGAAGTTTGGATCCAGACTAAGTTTGGAGACCTCCAAATCCAATGGAAAATTTGTCATATCTGAATGCAACCATGAAAAGCAATCAACGTTAGATTTAAAAAAATCTATAAGTTTCAACCTGAGTTCGGGACTCAACCCCGTTCCTAAATGAAATTTTCTTTCCAGAAATTCTTCAAACAAAGCCACTTGTTTGAGCTCTTCTGCGGTTAACTTGGTTGCATCCATCTTTTCTGGTACCTGAAAAGACCTTGGTGCCTGATATAATTCTGATGACTTCTCGTTTTTATCATCTACAATTGGGATGGGAGAAGGCATTGGTTCCTGTAGTTGCTATTTGCTGGTTTCTTTGCCCTTGCTGCTGGAAATGGTTACTGTGTTCATCTCCCTTACAGCAGATTGATCTCCTCTGATCTGCTTGATCCCTTCTAGTGTTGGAAACTTTAACAGTTAATGGTATGTGAAGGTACGACCTTCATTTTGATGTATCCACGGTCTTCCAAAGATTATATTATAGACCATGTCGCCATTTACCACTTCAAACAGGGTGGTCTTTGCTACACCTTCAGCATGTGTGGGCAGAAAAATTTCTCCTCGGGTTGTTATACTTGTTATGTTGAAGCCAGCTAAAAGCTTTGTTGATGGAATGATATTCCCAGTTAACTTTGCTTCTCTCCATTGTATGATATTGGTTGAACTTCCTGGATCAACCAAAATACGCTTAATACTAAAATCTAAAATATTAAAAGAAATTACCAAAGCATCATTTTGCGGTAGGATAAGTCCATCGGCATCTTCCATCGTGAAGGTGATGTCATCTTTTGAGACTTCTCGGATCCTCTTGCCATGAGTCACTGATATATTCGTCTTATTTGCTGGCAAAAATGTCACCCCATTTACTTTGTCTCCTCTGAAGATCATGTTGATTGTCATTCGAGGTGACCCTTCTGCTGGTTTTAATGGTTATGTAATATCCCTATTTCTCTTAGAGTTGTTTTTGGTGCGATCGCTTAACAATTCCCCGAGGTGACCATTCTTTAACAATATTTCCACCTCTTCATGAAGATGTCGGCAGTCCCCAGTCCTATTATCGTGAGTCCCATAGAATTCACACCATAGATTAGGATCCCTTTGGCTAGGATCCGATCAGATCGATTTTGGGAACCTAAATTCTTTAATATTTCTCATGGGCGACACTAGTTCCACTAGGGTGATACTAAAATTGTAATTAAACAACCGGGGATACGCTGAATCTTAGGATCATGGCACCTTTTTCTCCTACAACAATCTGTTACTCCGGCCATGATCCATCCTTCTATCGCAAATAAACCTATTCGATGACTGGAATCCTTTATTATCGTGCCCTTCGGCCTTCTCATAAGGCTGAAAATGACTTCTAGAGTGTATTCGATCTATATCAAAATCATTTTTAAACTTATCTTGATTTCAATCACGATTCCGTCCTTTGGAAGACACCGTGGAACCAAGTCGACCATCTTCACTTCTGATCTTTGACTCATAGAGATATTAAACATCTGCCCATATGGTTGCCTGAATTTCGAGCAAGCTCTCCTGCAATTTTTGTGAGTTATCGGAGCTTAATAGGTTGAGACCCTTTGTAAATGCCTCCGTTGCCCACTCATCTTGAACCGCAGATAACAACATCATTTCTTTCCGGAACCAGATCACAAACTCTCTTAACAATTTAGCTTTTCTTTAAGATATCATGAATATATCCACCTTCCTTGCTTGGACCTTTCTTGCTCCAGCATTATCTTTGATAAACGAATCTACAAGCATTTCAAAAGGGTCAATAGAATGTTTTGATAAGAGGGAATACCAGGCTAAGTCACCATTCGTAAGGGTTTCACCAAACTTCTTCAACAAAACCGATTCGATGTAATGCTGGGCCAAGTTGTTTTCCTTTACTGTCGTAGTGTAGGTCATATCATGATGTGCTCCTGTGGATCCGAAGTCACATCATATTTTGGTATATCCAACATCTTAAACCTCTTTGGGATTAACTTCGATGCAGCACATAGTTTAAACAGCAACTACATATACTTCTTTAAATCTGATCCTTTTAACATCGGCGGCACCCCCGTGATATGATCCATCAGAGCGAAATTCCTTTGCATTCTAATCCATTCATTCATTCATTTCTCTCATTAATCTTATGAGCTCGGTTTTGAAAGGGTTATTTAAATTGTTGTTCGCAAATTCACTACCGGTACCTCTGGCCTCGTCGAAATTGACCTCCTCTCTTGGTGTGTCGTTATCAGTTCCTTGAGTCGTTTGCTTTACGAGAATGCTGGGAGGAATCGGGGCCCTTCCATTAGCATTATTAGAAGCTCCCCATACTACATGTTTCAATTTTGTCATCACCCAATCTTGCCTTGAGAGGCGATCCATAATTGCCTTTTTCTATTCCCTCAAGATTTTGACTATTTCAACAACGTGCTCATCCTTTGCATCATCAAGAGTTGGGCCCCGCACATGTCGAGGATACAGACCTTCGCGAACTAGGTTGTTTCATCCCCTTCGTTGTGGGGCTCACTGATTGAATCATCACGCGTGAACACATCTTCTTGTTGACCGTGTACTCCAACATTTTAAACAATATTGACATCATTAGCTGTCATACCTTATCTTTCTTTTTCTAAGGAAGGAATCAAAATTTGTCAGTAATAGATAAATAGATCAAAGCAATTACACAATTGTCAATGCCCCACAGTGGACGCCAAACTGTTTACCCATAAAATGATATAGTTAGATTTGTAACGTAGTTTATAGACAAATAAATCGATTTGGTCCTAAAGTACGAAAACAATAATAACCGAAACAAGAATACGAAATAAAACTAATGGAAACACAAGCCCGAGTATGAATTTAGCCTTTCCAATGGCAAAAAGAGAACATTATTCAAGAACAAAGACTGAGAACAATATTATAAAATGGGAGCAGAATATAGCTTTTTTGTGTACAAAATATTTCCACCCCTACAATGGATGCTAATCCTCCTACTTACAGCTCTGTTCTGGGAGACAAGATCCTCAAATCAAGTTCCTCTTGAATGAGAATAAAACCGTCATTGATGGCTGCATAATTGTTGGCTATAAATGCATATATTCTTTGTAACAGTTGCTCGTTGAATGTTATCTAATGAAAATGCTTTGAATCTTCATTATTAATTGGCTACTCCGTCTTCGAGATTCATTCAGTATCGATTGCATGATTACATCTGGTGCCAGCTGTTTGCTGACTCACGTCCCATCTATCTTTTGTTCCATGCGTCACTTCGTCATTCGCCCAACTATCATTAACCGATTTTGCCCCATACAGGTGTAGCTTTGATTATCGACACACAAGTTGAGGCTGACTCCAGTATATTGAGGCCAAAGGCACAGACATATATAGGACTAGGACTAAACCGTGTATTTCCGAGAAAAACTTATATACATACGATACCTAATTCAAAACATAGGAAAATGGTAATTTGTTTAGTCTTTTTCCCGTTCTTTTCCCTTTTTGAATGATTTTAGAAGTTTAATTGTATTCTAAAGACTAAACATCAATCCTCCCACGATACTTGAGTTTTGAAGGTTACGTGGGTGGCATACATAAGTTCGTTGCTCATTCTTCAATTGTCATTATCTTTTTTTGTTGTTTCTATCGTCACTTCCTTTTCTTTGTTGCATTATAGTGTTTGATCTAATTCTTAATGTTAGCTAGAAAAAATGGACAGCAATGAGGTGTTATATATATATATATATATTAGTTAGTTAAAGCGGTTAATGAAAAAAAAAGTTTGATATCACTAAACAACTCAATAAATGAATATGCATGCGAGTCATCTATCATATCCGTATAACAATTAAGCATTGGTTGATTTTCGCCACTTGGAATTAAAAATTTACGTAACAAACTTCCTTCATGCAAAGAGGTGTGAACATTGGATTAGAACTCGTACACACTGGACAAACAAATTAGTCCCCACATCAACTAACTCAAGTTCCAAACTCATAGGCTAGCTAGTTATAACCAACACTTATAAATACCACTCAATATTAACAAGAGAAAACATCCCAACAGCACCCAAGTATCTTGTACTACTACTTTTTCAAAACTCATCTGCCATCACTTTTATTACCAAAATGGCTGAAGAGAAGAAGCACCACTTCGGTCTCTTCCACCACAAGGACAAGGAGGAAGACAAAACTACCTATGGAGAAACTCCATATGGTGGTGATACTGAAAAAACTACCTATGGAGAGAATACATATGAAGAGAAAACTAGTTATGGTGGGGGAGATAACTATGGGGATAACAAATATGGTGAGAAAACTGGCTATGGAGAAAGTGGATATGGAGAGAAAACTAGTTATGGTGAGGGAGGTAACTATGGAGATAGTGGCTATGAAAATAAGACTAGCTATGGAGATAGTGGCTATGAAAATAAGACTAGTTATGGAGATAGCGGCTATGAAAACAAGACTGGCTATGGAGATATTCCATCTGATACTACCTATGGAGAGAAAACTAATTATGGTGAAGGAGATACCTATGGAAAAGGAGCTGCCTACTCATCTGAGACCACTAATTTTGAAGAGACTACTGATGAAGGCAAAACTGGTGAGGATTATGAGAAAGAGAAAAAGCACCACAAGCATCTTGAACACGTGGGAGGGCTTGGGGCTGCTGCTGCTGGTGCCTTTGCCTTGGTAATTTTTCACACAATGTTTTATGTTACAGTTTTAACTTTTATATCCTTGTGGTCCAGTCCTTCCCCGGACCCCGCGCATAACGGAAACTCAGTGCATCGGACTGCCTTTATTGTCGTATCAGTAAAGTTACAAAATTATGTTAATTAAAGTCATTGAACTTTACCTATTGTATCAGCTAAGTCACAAAATTATTTGTTGTCTCATAAAAGTCATTGACAATTTGTTAGTTGTCTAGAAAATACAATTCACTAGAAAGTCAAATTTTTTAATAAAAATTGATATTAGTAGCCAAGAGAATAAGAGAAACTACTACTCTTTCCGTCTCACTTCATGTGAAGGTGTTTGACTGGACATGAAATTTAAGAAATAAAGAAAAAAATTTGAAACTTGTGGTTTAAAATAATTTATAGAAATTTATTTGGCTAAAAATTATCTCATTAAGGGTAAAAGAAAAAATTTAAAATTAAGTTGTTACTAAATATAGAAATGTGTCATTTTTTTATGAGTGAGTAAGAAGAAAAGAGTGTCACATCAAATTGATTAAAATAGACTCATAGTCAAATATTATGGGTCAATTTGAAGAAAATTTTGATTTTTACTCTAGATATTGTAAAAAGAATTTACACTATCAATCATTCATCTAGAAAGATTAATAGAGTTGTTAACTATTCCTTTTTGTTTCTTCCATATTTTGGTATGAAAATTTCAGCATGAGAAGCACAAGGCAGAGAAAGATCCAGAACATGCACACAAACACAAGATAGAAGAAGAAATAGCAGCAGCAGCTGCAGTTGGGGCAGGTGGATTTGCATTTCATGAGCACCATGAAAAGAAGGAAGCCAAGGAAGAAGAAGGGGAAGTTGAGGGAGAGAAGAAACATCATTTCTTCTAATTTTCTCATAATATATATTTACCTCTCTTTAATTTGTTTTCTTCTAAAATATAAGTTATGAGCTTCGTGTGCTTGCTCTATCCTCTAATACTGAGCACCTAAATAATCCGTGTGTGTGTGTGAGTCTTCCCTTTGATGTAAGGGTTTTACTTCTATATCTTGGTGGGGTTTAATTATGTCATGCACATGTTGTTCACTGTGCAAGTGTGAATAATACTATACCTTTTAATGCAATATTTTTGTCTTAATAATATGATACAGAAAAAAGACTCATGTCTTTACTCTTTCCTTTGGGGCAAATAAAAAGCGCTTTTCTCTTGTGCCAATTATCCCGTTAAAATATGTGAGTTTAACTTCAGAAATGAATTATCAAATAACAGAAGGATAATTTGCTAAAGATAACACAAGCAACTTAAAATAGGTCATCAATATATATATATATATATATATATATATACACACACACTCGTTCTTCTATTTTTTGGTTTCTTTTAAGGAAGGGATATGGCTGATGCTCGTTCGTCTTAAATGTATCCCGTAAATCGCAAATAACTCTCTTGATTTGGGCTAAAAACGAATAATATCCACATATTTGTGGTTGTGAAACCTTTATCTAGTTTTTCCAAATGGTGACTTTGAGTGTACATGAAATCGAGGTCGTACAATAAAATTAAAGTGAAAAGTTGTGTGTCACCATTGATGGGGGATTGAGATCACAAGTGCCCCGTATTATAAACTACTTTAACATTATGGCACCACATATCTTACTTGAAACAAATCTTGATATTTGTCAATTGTCCATTTCTCGTATGATATATTTATAGGTGTATCCTTATAGATATAGTTTAACTACAACTAATAATTATGGTTCTACTACAGCTATTTATAAGTTATCTTAGAAGTTAGTAATTAATTTAGAAATGACTTGTAGTCTAGAGTCAATTAATAATTTTGAAAATTTGTCCATTTCCCGTAGTATATATTTATAGGTGTATCCNATATATATATATGTCTTTAGAAAATAGTGATATATTAGTACTGAACACCTTATATACAGAACAGATTTTGGTTGAATCTAAAAGTGCATCCTCTAACCTTCAAATCTTGAATCCGTATGACTTGAGCACAACTAATAATTATGGTCCTACTACAACTATTCATAGAAGTCAGTAATTTAGAAAAAACTTATAGTCGTGTGTCAATAATTAATGTTTACAAAATGCGCTACTCCTTGTTCTCTTAACCAAGGAGGTTTCGTTATTATAGAGTTTGAATTTGAAGAGTACACCATTGTTAATGACTTTTGATAAATGACTAAAAATGCACAATTTTGAGTATAGTTTCATATCATTTTGTGTGAGAATAGGGAGATCAAATGCTTACAAACGTGAATATGTTCATTACGTGTTTATTGTGTGTATGAATGAATTTGGATAGAAGTTGGCAAGAATTAATTAGATTATTTGATGCAAAAAGAAGTAGAGATGCAAGAAGTGGGAGCGTGCCACAATTGGTGCATTGCATGAAAGATATGTGCGAAATGACCTAAGAATTGAATCAAAACCAGTGTACGACATTTTGGCACCATCCCCCAGTACGCGAAAGAAACAAAGAAGAAAAAAAAGTTAGGAGCGTGCCTAGGGGTAACGCGTTGCACCAACCCCCAGGACCCGACTCAACCTTTTCTTTTCGAATTAAGAGAGATCAAGGACACCCCACATCAACCGTATTCGGTTTAAATACAATTTGAAGCCGTTTTTGAAGGGCCACACAATATTTTGGGAGGCAAGAACACGCAAGAGCAAGGCGGAGAATTCTTCTACGAGTTTTTCACTTTCTACTTCATATTTCTATTGTTGGTTATGACTTTTTATATTGTAATCTTATATAATATTATGAGTAGCTAAACCCGTCATCTAAGGCTTGATTGAACCAATTGTTTGATGAATTCTTAACTGCGTATTGGTATAATTGAGCCATTTTACTCTCTAATTATTAAATTATATGCTTCTTGTTGTTAATTGAAGGGCCACTAGTTAAATGTGTCTAGTTATCTTGTGTTACTTGAGAGAGAACACTTGATTAGATTGTTGTTGAACAACGCCACTTTCGAGTAAGTTAAGAGATTAATTACTAAGATTTAAAAGTGAGATTAAAGATAATGAAGATTTGGTGTGATCATTATGAGCTGTACGAATTATCAACTAGAGTAGTTCGAGAAAACACTTCTATTAAATTATAACTAACGTGTTAGGAACTAATCCGACAATTGGGAAAATCATAAACCCTAGACCTTTTTATCTTTGATTTAATCTTATTCTCGCTTGTTTATAATTTTTATTGCCATTTTTTCTTAGTTAAGTAAATTTTGTTAATCATAAATCAAGTCTTGAACTCTAAAAGTTGACTGAGCATATTATTAGTGATACTGAAAAGTTATAGCAAATAGATTAGTTCTCTGTAGGATTCGACTCCGGACTCTTGAACCAGATTATTTTTAAGCGACCGCTTAGTCTTTTTTATAAGGCATAGTTGGGCGTGATTAAATATTAGCATCGTTGATGGGGAACTAATGGTGTTATTCATTACAACTTGAAACAATTGCTAGTATTTTTAGTTTAGATCAATTTTTCGTGGTGCTAAAAATATTTCTATTGAAATTATCACGTTTGAATTATTTTATGCCTAAGGTGCATGCCTAGATGCTCCTTGAGAACTTGTGAACTATTTGAAGGTCTCTCAGATCCGAGAAAGCATCAAGGACATTGAATCAAGCTAACAAGAAGGGCAAAGAAAAACTAAAACAAAACGAACAAATCAAAATAGAAACGATTGACATCAAGAAATACAACAGGAACAATAGAAATAACAAAGTTGACCCAAACATCAGAGTGGTAGCACCCCTTGTGCCGGAGGCTAATCTATATGATTGGGCGCAACCAACCGCTGATAATTTGGTAAATGCAATTGCAATACCTCAGATACAGGCAAAAACTTTTCAAATTACAAACAACATGCTGCATTTGCTACAGAACAAGAGGTTGTTCTCCGGGTCTTACATCGAAGACCCACAACAACATCTGAAGAATTTTCTATTAATTTGTGTCACCCATAGACAACCGAATGTGACACCCGAAGCAATTAGATTGTTACTATTTCCATTCTCAGTGATTGGGGAGGCTCACACATGGCTAAATCACTCCCAACAAACTCCATTGCTACTTAGGATGAACTAGTCAAGCAGTTATTAAACAAATTTTATCCAGCAAATAAGACTGCAAAGCAAATTGATGAGATATTGCAGTTCAGGCAACAACCAACTGAAACTTTGAAAGAAACCTGGGAAAGGTTCAAGGGTATATTGGTGAAGTGTCCCCACCATGGCATCCCGGATCAGATGCTAGGATAGAAATTCTATATGTGTTTTGCTGACCGTCTAAAGGCTAATTTAGATGTTTCAGTCGAGAGTATATTGTTGAGAAAATCATTCAGAGAGTGTAATTTTCTTCTTGACAAGATGGCTCAAAATTCAGGCTGGATGATGGGAGATACAACAGTTACTACAATAGTGCATTCTCTTGCTCTTAACCCAAATAATACAAATGCAAAAAACACAGCCACTCTAATGACATATGAGTTTGTTGACAAAGAAAATTGACGAGACGGGCACAAAACAGGTTCACATTGTTGACACAAAAATGGAGGCCTATGCACTCCTTGCATCTGTCAGCCGTATGTTTGCTCATGGAGTACAGAAACTAATAACCAGGGATTCAAAGAATACATGAATTACATAAATAATTTTGGGGATCAAAGACAAGGTGGACAACAATGGGGACATCAGAATCAGTAGTACAGCCATCCCAGCCCAGCAACAATACAATAACAATCCTAGGGGAGCATGACCACATGTCCAAGTTGTGCCTATCAAAGGCAACCTGGTTACAATCAACAACACCAACAAAATTTTGCTTACCAATAACCTCATCAGCAGCAGATGACCACACAAGAAGACAACAATATGATAGAAATCAAGGGCATGCTGCAACAACTCATTGAGACTAATGGAAAGAAGCAAGAAAAGTTAGCCGTACATGAATCGGCTATTAAATGCATTGAAACTTAGTTAGTCCAGTTGTCCATGGATTTGAACAATCTCCTACAAAGAACATTGCCCGTCGATACAAACATCAATCCAAAAGAATAGAACCTGAACCGACTAATGGTAGTGAGTCTCAGGAATGAAAGGTATTTGGACAAAGAGCAAGAATTTTCTCAATCTAATAGAGAAAGAACGCCACCTATTCCAATGCCACTCGAGGTAGATGAATTGATAGAGCTCACAGAGGTTGTAATTGAACAAGCACAAGTTGACAAGGGTAACGAGAAAGAAACTTAATAATTCTCGAAGATGGTACTAAAAAGGACTTCTTATCAGGAAAGAACATAGATCAGTGGACAAAAGCAACCTCCGACACTATTCCCTCAAAGGTTGGCAAAGCAAAAAAAAGATGATCAATACATAAAATCCATGGAAATGCTAAGTCAAATTCAATTGAATATTCCTCAGATAGAAGTTTTGAGGGAAATGTCAGGCTACGCTAAAAGGATGAAAGATTTGATGTCTCGAAAGTTTGACTTCCAGGACATGCCTAATGTGACTCTGACTCAAACTTATAGTGCGGTAGTGACAAGGCCTATCGCTCAAAAGTTGTCTGATCCCGGTAGTTTTACAATCCCATGCACAATTAGAAGTTATACTTTTGTTATAGGATTGTGTTACTTGGGGGCTAGTATTAACTTGATGCCTTTGGCAATTTAAACAAAATTAGGAATTGGAAGAGCTAGACCAACCTTAATGTTGTTGTAACTGGCTGATCGCACAGTTAAAAGGCCAATATGAATTATGGATGATGTACTCGTTCAAGTAGGGAAGTTTGTATTTCCTGCTGATTTTGTTATTCTTGACTGCTAGGTTGATGAAAAAAATATCCATAATTTTTTTAAAGCCATTCTTGGCTACTAGGAGAGCATTGATTAACTTTGAGACTGGAGAGCTAAATATGAGATTGAAGGATGAAGAAATAATATTCAATGTTCAACACTCTATGAGGAGACCCAGCGAGTTTGCAAATTGTTCGTGAGTAGAGACAATTGATGTGATACTACAAGAGGAGTAAGAGACTCTCCATGTTAGAGACCCATTAGAAGCTTCCTTGATGAATTTAAAAGAAGTTGATGGTGAAAAGTGGGCAGAATGGGTTATGGCTCTTGAAGGTCAAGGTTTT